CCAGTTCTCTGAAACTTCCTGGGTATGTGTGTCCTCTGCCTGAACACTCACCACAGACTAAGATCCTGCTGGCACCCACCCACCAGGTTAAGCTTCCCTCTCTCCAGCCCAGCTCAGGGTGTTCAACAGGCTTGGCTACCCCAGGGGAGAGAAGTGGACACCTGCAGGCAGGCAAGTCTAGTACAATTTCTTAATTAATGATTGTTGTGTGAGGGCCTAGCCTGTTGTAGTCAGTACCACCCCTGGGCAGGTAGCTATGGGGTGCATAAGAAAACAGGCGGAGGAGCTGAGAGGTGGCTCAGCGGTCACTGGGCTTTCAGAGATCCCGAGACCAATTCCCAGCAACCACATGGTAATGTGATCTGTTGCCCTCTTCCGACCTACAGGTCTACATGCAAATAGAGTACTTGTATACATAAAGTAAAAAGACAACAAAACTCTTAAAACAAAAAGACAAAAACAAACAAAAACCACAGCCTGCTGAGTGAGCCTTGAGTGGCAAGCTAGTAATCAGTTCTCCGTGGCTTCTGCATCAGTTCCTGCCTCCAGGCTCCTGCCCTGTGTGAGTAGATTCTGCCCTGACTTCCTTTGCTGATGTGGTAGAACTGTAAGCCGAAATAACCCTTTCTCTCAACTTGCTTCTGGCCATTTTGTCTTATCACTTCAATAGAAACCCAAAGACACTTGCAAACAATTGGAATTTTCCCAAATGGCTTTTTAAATTACTTGAGATAGCTACAACCATCCTTTAAAAACAACAACAACAACAACAACAACAACAACAACAACAAGAGTCTTGTGGTTACAGTGTCTTAAATTTTCTGGTCGATGCAAAGTTATGGGATTTTTTTTTCAAGATTTTTTTATTTTCTATGTTAAGTTGCATGTGTATGTTATGTGTATGGAGATGAGTGCTGGTACCACAAGAACACCTCAGATCCCGGAGCTGGACTTACAGGGAGATGAGAACCAAGCCCAGGTCCTCTCCAAGAGCAGTCTGCACTTTGAACCATCTCTCTACCCCACAACGGTTGAGAAAAGTTAAGGGAAAGTGGACACATCACAGCAATCTCAGCACTTAGAGATTGTAGGTGGTAGGATTAGGACTCCAGATTATCCCCAGCTAGGTAGCAAGTTTAGGCCATCTGACCTAGGGCTACCTGCCACCCTTTCTCAGGAATAAGAATATATATTTCTGGGTGTGGTGCTAAAATCCTTTAAACCCACGAGGCAGAGGCAGGATTATTTCTATGAATTTGATACTAGCCTGATCTATACAGGATGTTCCAGGCTAGCTAGGGCTATTCAGTGAGACCCTTTCTCTAACAACAAACAAACAAACAAACAAACAAACAAAAAACAACTACCCCGGCCCACAATGTAGGTCTGTAACTCATAAGAGTTGTTGTGTTTTATAAAAAGAGGAGAGAGGGGATATGTTTGGTGGAGGTGTAGTCAGGTTTGGAGGAAAGGGGTGCCTCTGTGGGCCCATGCTGAGGCATCTCTTTCCTCTGAGGGACCAGCCACATGACGGTATAGTATAGAATAGAGTTTATTCAGGGCATGGGGAGGGGAGTTAAGAGTGTAGTAGAGACAGAGAGAGAGGTGGGGAGGGAGGGAGAGAGGAGAGAGAGAGAGAGAGAGAGAGAGAGAGAGAGAGAGAGAGAGAGGAGTAGAGAAGTAGAGCATGTGGAGAGAGAGGGAGGAAGAGAATGGGGAGAGAGGGAAGGGGCGAGGGGAGCAAGAAGTCAAGAGTAAGAGAGAGAGGAGGGGGCAAGCAGCCCCTTTTATAGTGAGTCAGGCATACCTAGCTGTTGCCAGGTAACTGTGGGGCAGAGCTTAGACAAAATGCTAATGGCCGTAACAATGAAAACACCAAATAAACTGTTTTTATGCCAGGGGCATTGTAATGATTAATACAGATTTATTTTTGACAAATTTTGCTGTAGTTGTTTCTGTATTAATTGATTCTGGAAGATTCAGGTATAATCGGTACATCTCGGAGACCTCAATCAATAAATCAACCTAAAAATAAAAAGTAGATTTACGATCATGATAGCAGACAATTGTAACCGTAGGGCTATGGTAGTAAGTAGATCACTGCAGTCACTTGTATGGAGACCTAGTTACTGCTACAGGACTTGGGATTGTTGATTCTTGAGATTTTGCTTACCAACACAACATACTGTTAACTGGTGGGTCGGGTATGGTGGTGCATGCCAGCCTCTGTTACACAGAGAAACCCCGTCTGAGGGGTTGGTGGGGATGAGAGGAGTCAATTGTATCAATACCAGAAGTAGAGTAGTGTGTTTGCTGTCTTCAGGATTTATTATCAGATGGCAAGGAAATATACTGGAGCCTGGAAGCTAGGATCCATGTTTCACAGTTAGGCCCTCAGCGAATCTCTCCTGATAATTTCAAATGCACATAAAGTATTGAGCTAAGATACACCTTTAGAAGACTCGGGGATAAAAGGTTATTCATTTTTATTGGGTACATTTCATAAGGCATCATAAAGAGAGAGAATAGACACTAACCAGTTTACATGCAGTCTCCAAATGCTAAGACTTAACAGCTAAGAAATGGAATCAATCCAGAAAGAATAAAATAAGAATACCATTATCCACAGTAGCTGACTAAGTCATAGGTTAAGCAGCACTTGTTAAAAAGCCTGTGAACAGCCGGGCAGTGGTGGCGCACGCCTTTAATCCCAACACTTGGGAGGCAGAGGCAGGTGGATTTCTGAGTTCAAGAGTTCGAGGCTAGCCTGGTTTACAGAGAGAGTTCCAGGACAGCCAGGGCTACACAGAGAAACCCTGTCTTGAAAAAATAAAAATAAATAAATTCCTGCAAGACATTAAAAAAAAAAAAAAGCCTGTGAACAGGCTGAGGGCCAGGTCAGCCAGTCCTTACAGTTGGTTAAGATGACAGCAATTCAGTTTACCGGCATGAAAGTGCCATGATGGAATGAGTTGTTTTATATATTATACGTAAAAATTTGTTTAAAAACAAAAGTTTAGAGAAGCTAGACTTGGAACAGAATTGTGGGTAGAGTAGCTACAATCAAAGAAACAGACACAATGGGCTAGAAGGAACTGCCTTCAAACTGCACAGCATCATTTGTACCCTCAACATTCCCTAAGCAGGTAATCCACAGAGAATCCAACAATAGGGTAGGAAGGGAGGTAGCCAAAGGGGCCTTCTCACAGGACCCAGCCAGCTCTCCCCACCTCCGTACAGGCCGTTCACAAGTTTTGCTTGCTACAATTTCAGGATTGCTGCTCCTCAGGAACTAGACCTTTGGGGTCATTTCTGAAGTGAGACGTTTTCCTAGTTGTTCTCTCCCTCTATGGTGGATGGATTTCCAGCAGATCACTTGTTTTGATATGTCATGGGTCTGGTTTAAAAGGAGAACACAGCGGGCTGGAGAGGTGGTTCCGAGGTTAAAAGCACTGGTTGCTCTCTCAAAAGACCCAGGTTTAATTCCCAGCCAGGACCCACATGGTAGCTCACAACTGTTTTTAACTCCAGTTCCAGGGACTCTAATGTACTCACACACATATGCAGGCAAAACACATAAAATAAAACTAATTAAAAGAAAAGAAATATTTTTTAAAAGGAATATATAGACTGTGGTGACAAAACCCTGTACTTTGGAATCTGAGGCTAGGATAAGGGTTGTTGTGCTTGAAGAGTGAAGGAAGTGTCTCAGCCCGAGGGTAGACTGTACCGTGTCCCAATTATCTGCTCTTCTGTAAGGTAAGAGAATTCTTTCTATACATCTATACAACGTGTATATCACTTTCTGTCATTCCCAGTCCTACTGATGTTTTTGCCTTGTGATGTACTTGGGCCAATAGGATGCAATTAGAAGAGATACATGCCCTATAGACATGGGAGTTTTAGGTCTATTACTTGGGGCAGGAATTTCTGTTTCCCTCTACCATAAGAATGGCATGACTCCGGCTGGAGAAATGGCTCAGCGGTTAAGAGCGGTTAAGAGGTCCTGAGTTCAATTCCCAGCAACCACATGGTGGCTCACAACCATCTGTAATGGGATCTGATGCCCTCTTCTGGTGTGTCTGAAGACAGTGATAGTGTACTAAAATAAATAAATCTTAAAGAAAAACAAACAAAAAACCAAAGAATGGCATGCGTCAAGTCTCTGAATGTACAGGGGTTTATGGGGCAGAGAAGGTAATATGCAGCCGAAACAAATTACTATAAGCCTTTGAATTTTGGAGTTTGTTCTTACTGCAGCATAATATAGATACAAATTTACTGTATAATTGGCCCTCCATCTGAAGGTTCTACATCTGTGGATGCAGCCTACCTTGTATTGGAAAGTATTTAGGTGTACAGTTCACTGATTGCATCTACACTGAACATGTAGCAGAGGCTTTTCTCTCTCTCTCTCTCTCTCTCTCTCTCTCTCTCTCTCTGAGACAGGGTTTCTCCGTGTAGTCCTGGCTGTCCTGGAACTCACTCTGTAAACCAGGCTGGCCTTGAACTCACAGAGATTGACCTGCACCTGCCTCCCGAGTGCTGGGATTAAAGGTGTGCGCCACCACTGCCCGGCTTCTCATTATTTTGTAACTGATACAGTCAAACAACTTGGTATAGATTGGATGTTTGTTTGTTTGAGACAGGGTCTTATCTATCTATAGCTTTGGCGGTTTTGGAACTCACTACATAGATTAGGCTAACTTCAAGATTATAGACATCTGCCTGCCTCTGCCTCCCAAATTTTGGAATTAAAGATGTGGTCCACCATGCCTGACTATAGTTGGATCTTAACTTCCCCAAACCTCCGAGTGTTTTTCCCCCACCATAAATATGCTATTGGGAAGTACTGAAACCTTTAGGAGGTGGAACTTAGTGCCAAGTCTTTGGGTCATTGGGTATGTTTCTAGAAAGTGGATTGTGGGACGCTGGCCATTTCTATACTGTCCCCGGCCTTGAGTGATGAGTGGTTTTGCTTTGTCATGTATTCATGTCATGATGTGCTTGGCACTTCAGCACATGTGTGAAAATGGCTATGTGAACAAGGTTGGAACCTCTGAAATCATGAGCCCTAACAAATCCCTCCTCTTTAAAGTTATCTTAAGCGTCTGTTATAGTGATGCAAAGCTGATGTACAACTGAATTGATACAGCACTTACATGTTATTCAATCATAGAAAACCTCAAGTACATGCAGATGCAAATGTTACTTGCAAACAATAAAAAAAAATTGGCCATCAGTGGATCTGCTCATCTGTAGGAGTTCCTGAAAACAATCCCCCAGAGCTGCCTCCTTAGGACTACTGCAGTATTTGTTTAACTTACCTCAGAAACACTAAGTTCACAGAGAGAGACTGACTTGATCCCAGGTAACTCGACTTTCAGCTCAATTTTCTGAGGTTTCTCGTTCTGATCCTTTACAACCTTTAATTCATAGGCAGGTTGCTTAACCTCCACCTGGATTTCTGAACTAGAAATCTCTTCTATAAGACATCGTCCTTTGGCTGATGCTTGTGTTTTTGTCAATAGCACCTCAGGTAGGTGATTAGGTTCACTCAAAGTACTGCTTCTGATCCTCTCAAGAGTATTTTCTTTATGGAAAAAGGGGAGGGGAAATGCAAATATTAGCAGGCTGTGAGCTTTAGGATAGGTGGTGTTCACAGAGGCAGTTGATGAAGCTGCAGTTATCTTGTTTTGGAAATGTTAGTTCTAAAGCATCTGGAACAGCTGGCCATGCCACTCAGTGATAACCTGCTTAGCATCTGGGCTTTAGGTTGGAGTGATTCTGGCACAGCTAAGCAAACAGATGGAGATACCCAGAACCTCAAGTCAAAGAATTTGCTTGGGAATCCTGCAAGATTTTGACATCTTTCTGGATACTCTGACGTTTCTAACAATGTATATTTCTCTCTCTAAGTTCTCTAATAATGTATATTTCTCTCTCATTCTTTTGAGATAGAGATGTGTGGCCTGAAACCTATGCAAAGGCTACAAATCCAGAATATGTCATCACTTCATTTTCAGCTCACCTCCATCGACTCACCTGTTCTCATCATTGCTTTGAAGTCTGGGAAGTCATCTCTAGTGCCCATCAGCCTTGCCTTCATTCTCTGGAGGCTTCCTTTCAGCCTAATACTAGTAACACAGTATGAGTGTGCAAGTGTGAGCTGGAGTCGCTCCTCGATGCACAGCATGGCCATCCTTATTAACTGATCTCTGATCCCTTGGTCTCTTTCTGCCACTTGCAGAACACCAGGATTGTAGGCAACATCAATGATGGTATGAGCATCTGTGTGCAAGTCAGAGACAGTTTGATTCTATAAGGATTTATGTTGGGCAGTATTCTAACCCGTATTAGCAAAGCTGCAAACTACAGATTCCAGCAAACTACAGATTCCATCCCTGAATTCTTAGACAATCATAGAAGCACTATGTTAAGCCAGCAGTGGCTGGTCAGATAGGAAGTCGACACAAAGTTTATTAGGAGAAAGGGCTTTGAAGTGAGGAAAAGCCTTAGACAACAGCAATGCAGTCTATGGAGATCTAAGCATGATGGGACCTTAAAGGGAGCTATGGCTTCCCTTTCAATCCTGGAAAAGAGCTTCATAGGTTGAGAATGAGAGGTAGTGAAGGGAGATTTGAGATGGGAGAGATTCAGGGAGAACAAGGGTCCTGGAGAGGGCAGCTTCAGGGCATTTGCATGAACAAAATCTCCCTGAAGACCCAGCTGAGAAACAAAACAAAAAGCTGACTTTTTAAATAACCTTTTAGGAGTGATAGTAATTTTCACGTCACAAAATTTACTTCTGTGTAGTGTACGTGACGTCATGGAAGAGACAGGTGATCTTGAACTGAAGGCTGTCAAGTCACAGAACAGGCTGATTCTTAATTCTGTCTCAGCAGGGAGGCACGGCCTGATTCAGGCTGTATGATCTGGCCTAAAGATGCAGGTGTCTGTTCTAACATTTACACAAAATTCCAGTTCTATGCTGCCATTTCTATTTGAGTTGAATGCAGATCAGACTATTAGAAATCATATTAAATGTGCACAAAGCACACCAATTTGTTGGGAAATATTAATATTATTTTGTAAATCATTGTACAATATAATAATTAAAATAATATTATTTACTATGTCAATTATTTATTAATAATATTCCCATCAGATGAAATAATGTAATTAAAATATTTCTACCAAGTAAATTCTGGTCTTCAAATATGTTCAATAAAAAATTCACATATTGCTGGTCAATGATGGCAGAACACTTTTAATTCTAAGACTCTGGAGACAGAGGTAGGGAGATCTCTGAGTTCAAGGCCAGCCTGGTCTATAGAGTGAGTTCTAGTCAGAGCTACACAGAGAAACCTTGTCTGGAAAAAACAACAATAACAACAACAACAACAACAAAAACTCGTGCACATGCTTTAACTCTTTATACCTGATGCCTCAGCAGAATCTTCTGGTCTGCCCACACTTATAGGTACAGGATGAGTAGCTGACTGTGGAGTGGGGATCCTTTCCCATTGACATAGGTTGATAAAAAGTACTTTTTCTTTTGGTTTCTAGAAAGTGAATAATTTTGACATTGCCAAATGAGATTTGATGAGAATATCCTGAAAGCAAAGTCCTCACTTTCCTTTTTAGGCCTTCTTCCCCATGTGCTAGGGCAGTGCTCCACTACTCAGCTACGTCTCCCTCCAAGAGGGAGAGTTCTGGTCACTCACTCAGTGATTATATTCAAACTGTGCTTCACATCCAGTTGTGCTGCACAATTTCCAAGCAAATTATTTGACTGGAAGCTCTTTCTCTGTTTTGGTTAATTCGTTCATTCATTTGGTCATTCATTCATTCACTCATTTTGCTATGCCAGGAACCAAATCCAACTCAGAGCCTCACATGCTAGGCAAGCATTCTACCACTGAGACACAATTTTTTTGTGACTTGAGTTCCCCAAAGCTTCTGGCTCTTCATCCTAAATCCACCTGCTGTTCTCTCCCAGAGGAACTGGACAGGAGGAGAAGCTGAAGTTAACAACTGCTCAGTGTTTTTGGAACCTCATGTCACTGCTTCTTTATTTCACTAACAGTAAATTCTTTATTTGGAAAAATCCTCAGCTCCTGAGTCTTATTAAATCAGAATTAGGAAGCCTTTAATCCCAGCACTCAGGATGCAGAGGCAGGAGGATCTCAAGAGTTCAAGGCCAGCCTGGTTTACATAGCATTGAACAATCAGGACTACATAAAGAGTCTGTCTCAACAAACAAACATTCATTGCATCTGGGCCAGTTTGATGGCTCAGTGGATAAGAGCACCTGGCTCTAGGTTGATGATCTGAATTCTCACCTCACCTCAATCGTAGGAAACTGCTCCCCAGAGTCATCCTCTGTCCTTGCACATGCACTCTCTTGAACCCATACACACATAAAATGTAATACATTTTTTTAAAAAAACCTTAACTTATAGCACTATTTTCCCACCTATCAGGACAATAAAGTTGCATTAGGGGATTTCCAAAATACCAAGTATGAATTTCTCATTTTTACTCCCTCAGTGAAATCTTCCATGTGGTTTCATTTCTTGTTCAGAGAGTTTTAATAAACTTCTCTTGTGTTAAAGTAGCACTAGAAAAGGCTACTGTGTCTCCTGGTTAAGCCAGAGTAGTTTTATTGAAGACCTCTTCTCCCTTGCACCAGCTCTACATACTAGGATCTTGGTCTGTAGACAGACTTGAGGTTCTGGGTCGGCGCAGAGCTGTTTGCCATCTTTCAGCTCCTGCTGAATGAAGTTCTGGTAGCGCTCGGGATCATTTTCAGCCAAATCATCAAGCATACTCCAGAACTGGGAAATGTGGGTGAGAAGACCTTTTGAGGAAGCCTTCATGATGGTGATGAGGCAGGCCTTTGGAACCTGCAGAGAGACAGGACTTGAGAAAAGGGATATAAGGTATTTATGGCCTTATTTCCTTTTTCAGGGAAGGAGGGAGGCTTTTGGAATTGTGCTGGGGTAGGTTCTCAACTGTTCTTGTTTCCTATGTCTAAAAGATTGCACAGCCATACTGCTTTATCTTGGCTTTTCTACAGTCTGTGAGTTAAACCACTTCCTAACTTCCCACGTTGTACCTGTGCTTCTGTCTGGTCTTCACAAATACAGAGGGAACAGAAAGGACTTTTGTTCCAATAGTTGGATATTGGCTGACTTGGTGCCTTCCAGACCTGAAATTGTGAGACGTGTGTGAAAGAAAGACAGACGGGTAGAGAGTGTGGGGCAGGGGGAGACAGACAGACAGACAGTATGGTAGTTAAGAATAGGCGCATTGGAGCCAGTATGCTTACGTTCTTCCTAACTGCAGACAGCTACGTTGCCTTGAGCAAGTAGTGTATATACTCAAAATAAAGCTGATTAAGAACACTAATACTTAAAGCTGGATAAATACTATGTGAGAGTAATAGTCAAAGATCCCGCCATCCTCCTCCTCCCGCAACAGAGAAATGTCCCCCAAAATTTTAAAGAGGTTTAGAGTCTTCAAATTATATATTAAAGTTACACTAAACAAACAACGAATACATACTTAATCCAAACGTGTGTGTGTGTGTGTGTGTGTGTGTGTGTGTGTGTGTGTGTGAAGGGGAAGGCACCTCTTAGTTTGGAGACAAACTGCGACTCTGGTTACTATGGTAACCAGGCCCGGTACAACACCTAACTGGGTCCGGGGTGTGCAAAGTAGAGCGGTGTCTCTATAGCCAGTTCCGGTTCTTTTCTCCAGTGCCGGACTGGCTCCTCAGAGCGCCGGTCCGGCTTCTCTCTCAGGAGAGCGCCGGCTTCCTTCCTGCATCTGTCAGCTTCCACGGCGACCGGCGAGCCCGCTCTGTGGGAGTCTCCTGTGGGAGGGAAGCGTTTCTCCGGAGCACGACTTCCGGCCCGGAAGGAAGCCGCCGCCTTTTCTCCCACCCCGCCACGCGAGGCTGCGGCGCACGGTATGGGTGTGTTTGTGTGTGTTTGTGTGGGGAGGGCGTTTCGAGGGAAGGCTGCCGAGAGCGTCGAGGCTGCGGCGGGGCGGGGAGCCCGCTGACAGACATGGGGGTGTTTGCCCCGACTTCCCCTTGGAAACTTCAAGCTCTCCCTGAGGCACTGTAGACACTTCCCGGGCCCCAACGGAAGGCCGAGCCCATGCCCCTTGTCCCCATTCTGTCCCGGGAGTGAAACCGAGCCGCCGGGCGCCGTCCCAGCCCAGCGAGAGCGGGGAATGCCCCGGTCCACCCGCAGGCTGCGTTCCGCGCCTGCGCCCGCTCTGGCCTGGGTCCCGGAGAGAGAGCCGCCTGGCGGGCTCGGCTGGGGGAAGGCAGCCGTAGCCTGGGCCTCGGGTGAGGGCACTGTAACCAGTGGGAAGGCTACGTTTTCACGAAGGACTCGGGTGAAGCTGCAGAGCTGCCTTTCAGCCCTGACTCCTTGGCTTCCTGGGTCGGAGGAGATCTTGTAATGGAGTGGTTCTTCGTCTCAAACTAACAAGATGCCTGATTTCCTCAGGATCGAGGGGTGAGTGAGCATCGGGACGGTGGCACCAAGCCCCTGCTAGCTACACATGTGAATATCGTTGTCTTCTGGGTTTTGGAAAGTTCCGTACAATGTAGGAAACAAAATGTCCTGAGTAGAGATATTTAAGTCGTTTATTTATTTTTTTTTTTTACAATTCAGTTTATTTTTTTTTACTGTTGACATACTTGGTGTTTAATGCCTTCGAATCTACGTGTTTATATCATTGCAAGAGAATTTTGAGATTTGATTTCTAGCCTCGACACTGACATATCCTTTGCCTGGGTCCATGCAGTCTGGGGTCAGCTTAACAGCTTTAAGGACCTTGATATTCAAAAGAGGAGTTGAGATAGAGTCTAAACTCGGGGATCCCTGTAAGTTAAAACAGCCAACTGAAAATGTTTGGGGAATCAAATTGCATCTGTACTGATCACGTACAGACCTTTCCCTCTTTGGTCTTTATTTCTAATCTCCATCATAACATTTACATAACATTTGCATAGTTTAAAGTATTATAATTAACCTAAATACTCCCATTCATCCTAAATGTGGAAGAGTGGTAAGAGGATGAGGAGTTAAGGGCTAGCTGAGGCTAGTTAAGACCCTGACTCCAAAAAAAAAAAGTCCTAATTTAAAATACACAGGAGAATAGTTTATATGCAAATACTATACCATTCTAAAAGAGAGATGAGCACCCTAGGATTGCTTTGTGTGTGTGCATGTATGTTACTGAGGGACTGAATCCAGGGTCGCTATTAGGCTAGGCGAATGCTCTACCAGCCCATACTTGGATTTAGATACCTTTAGTGGTCCTGGAACCAGTCCCCCATGGATCTTGACTACTTGACAGAATTGTGAGGACTGAATAATGTGGTGCTCACAGAAACACTATTGAGCAGCTTCGTGCAATTTTAAAGACTTAGTGTACATTGTCCTCTTTCATCTTTACACCATAGTCGGGTCTCATAAAGTTCAGTGATTTTTTTTCTTTCTTCATTTCTTTGTCTCTTTACAATTTAATAAAAATAAATTTATTGCATATTATTGGTTCATTTCAGACTAAAGAATGTCACGGGTTCCACTGGGGAAAGTCCTCCTGAGGAATGTCATCCGGCATACAGATGCTCACAATAAGGTAGGCAGTACAATCTAGTTACTGTCAACATTTCTTGAGAGCATACAGTAAACCATGAATTATGTAGGGAGATAACAAAGATGCATAAGAAACAATCATAGTTTGAAAAGTACTATAACATGAGGATAGTTACAAATTGCTTTAGTGCACCCAGGAAGGAATAACGAAATCTGCCTTGGAAAAATTAGAACGATTTCACAGAATGAATGGTCTCTGATATTTGAGCTGGTACTTGATGAATAAATGTTTACCATTGTTTTTGGCTGAAAATTCTCTGCACAAATACAGAGCAACAGAGCAGGGCCTAGTGATATGCATGAGTGGTAATGTCTCTTATATGCAAAGTCCTCATTCCATCCCTACCCCTCAGGCATTCATCACTTGGGGCAAGACATAAAGCTTCTAGAAAGTAGAAGATACAGAAGTAGTGACAGAAGATAAAATGCAAGAAGCCATCAGCTAGGGGTGGTGTCTTGCATATCTCATATCTGTAAGTGCTGTTTTACCCTGGAGGGAATGAGGTGGTGTGATTGCCACATATGTGAGTTTACACTGGTGATTTGTCAGTGTGGTAGAAAATAGACAATGAGAGAGAGGCACTGGAGGGATGATGGTCTAAGTGGTGCCGGCTTAGAGACAGGATCTAGGAGACTGTCATGCATGGTGTGATAGGAGTGGAGTGGCTGGGATGGAAGGAATGAAGGAAAACAATGACAGCAGACAAACACGAGACACACTGTGGTTTTGAATATATTTATGAATAGGAGCTTGATGTTGAAAACTCAGACTTGGAGACAAGGAGAAAAATTAGAGCTGGAAGAAAAGTTTGGGACTGTAGACAGTCACCTAAGAGTGTGCCTGTAATGAAAAGATCAAGAAAGACCCCCTTGTCCCGTTTTCTTCAACACACTGTACTCCTGGCTTGGTCGTTCCTATCATTGTCAGCATCATAGTACTTAGGTATTAAGTACTGGGGATTGAACCTGTGAATCACTGAGAATCACTAAGCTTATTGTCTAGCTGGTCTTGATCTCACCCTGTATTCTGGGCAGGCCTTGACTATGATCACCGACCTGTGCCCAGCTGTTACTTTAGTAACAGGTGGATAGAAGTGTAATGGTTACTCTTGCTACTTAGACAGTTACGTTAATTCTACTTCCAGTTGCATAGAGACCTTGGATTTGAGAGTGACAGCTAAAAACAAAGTAGTCATAGCATAGGTTTAACCAAGTGTGTAAGAGAACTTAGAAATAAAATGTGCTTTTGCTTTTGGCAGTTGTCTTCTGCTTTCCAGTATATTTTCTGTTAGCTATGTTGCTTTGTTTCTGTTTGTGACAAAAATTTTAATGTGAGCCAGGTATGATGTACATGGCTGTAATCTCAGCACTGAGGAGACAGTCAGGAAGTTTGCTTAAGTACATGGCTAGCCTGTTGTGTGTGGCAAGAATGCAGAAAACAAACAAAAAGGGGCTGGCGAGGTGGCTGCTTTACCACAGGGTCTGGGGTTTGGTTCTCAGCCCCTGCATGAGGTTCATAACCATCTGTAACTCTAGTTCCAGGGAATCGTTCACTCTCTTCTGGCCTCTGTGGGCACTTCATGCATATGGTACACAGACTAAAGACTCATTCACATAAAGTAAAATAAGACAGAAGTTCAAAACAAAACAAAATGGGTAGGAAGATGGCACAGGTAAAAGCATTTGCTATTGCAAGCCTGGTAACCCAAATTTGATCTCCAGAGTCCAGGTGAGAAGCCAGATGCAGTGATACAAGTATCACTTCTCCTACAGCATGGTGTGGGTAGAAACAGGAATTGGCCAGAAGCTCAAGGGCCAGCTAGTCTAGAATATGTAGTATAGCAGCAGAAAATAAGAAAGACTCTAACTCAGTAAGATGGAAATCAAGAACCAACTTGGAAGTTCTCTGACACACCATGTGTGTGCTCCATCTCCCTCCCTTTCTTTCCCTCTCTTGCTTGCTCTCTCACTGATATATACACACAAAATAAGTACATATGGGCTAGAGAGATGGCTCAGAGGTTAAGAGCACTAACTGCTCTTCCAGAAGTTCCGAGTTCAATTCCCAGCAACCACATGGTGGCTCACAACCATCTGTAATGGGATCAGATGCCTTCTTCTGATGTGTCTGAAGACAGCTACAGTGTATTCACATACACACACATATAATATATAAATAAGTAAAATCCTTTAAAAAATGTACATCTATCTGACATCTACTTATCTGACTTTTCTTAATGTAAAAAGAGATTATGCTTAGGGAATTTACAGCCGTATCCCTACTGGGCTAAGGCATAGGCCTATAATCTCAGCCATCTAGGAAGGTGAGGACAGGATGGAGGACCACAAGTTTAAGGCCTCCCTAAGTAGTTTAGATTTTTGTCTCAAAACAACACCACCACTAAATAAAAATACCACCACTGTAGCAGGAGATACTAGAAAAGACTGCGGCCTCCTGACTCCTGGTTTAGCCGCCATCCAGGTTCCCTCTCCAATGCTCAACACTGACTGAAGCTCCAGAATCTCACCAGCCAGCTCTCTAAGTTCCCACTGGCAGATCACTACCACGCCATTCCTGTGCTTCAAACCCCCCATGGCTTTTGAGGTAAGCCTCCGTACCTTACTCTCTCAAACTCAAGTTTGAGTCGAGTCGCTGAGAGAAGAAAAACACCACACAAAGTTCAGGAACAATGATAACTCAATCTCTGGGTGCAACAACTAAAATCTAATCTTGTAAGCCTTATTAAACCTAATCCTCTGGTGGTGGATCCATCCACCATGGTACCTGGAAACTACCACCACATCTTATCCCTGTGCTCATGCCTGTCTAAACCCCCTTCCTCCTCTCTTCTCCTATCGAGCCCGGAAGTCCCGCCTACCGGCCCAGTGATTGGTTCCTTTATTCATAGGGGATTGGTTCACAAGAAGTCACCTGAGTACTCGACTCACTCCTTGTCTGCAGCCCCTCCCAGGAGAGCAGAAGTTAACATCAAAATGCAGGAAGCACAGAGCTATCCACAACACCACCACCAAAAAACCAAAACAAAACCCAACAGGCAGGGATTGGAAAGGAGTACCAGGCCAGTGGTAGAGTGTATATTGCCCTGAGAAGAAAAACAAAGCCGGGCAGTGGTGGCGCAAGTCTTTAATTCCAGCACTGGGGAGGTAGAGGCAGGCAGATTTCTGAGTTCAAGGCCAGCCTGGTCTACAGAGTGAGTCCCAGGATAGCCAGGACTACACAGAGAAACCCTGGAGGAGATACATACCTTTGATCCCGGCAGGAGGCAGAGCCAGT